ATTCGATCTCTCATTTAGACACTTCATGGATTAGCTTATTTCAGTCAAAGTGTACAGTGGGACTGTAATGTTTGTAGTTGATTATCCTTTCTTGGTTCGTTTGCATAACAATGAAATCTACGCCTCCCCGATGACGATCCAGCAGTACGGGACTCAAAATGACAGCTGTTTTCTTAATTAGTGAGTTCTATGGTATCAGTGGTTAATACATTTGACCATACTTAGTGCACGTGTATAATAATGCAGTAAATATACAGTGCTTTATTATTCCTCGAGTTTAAATTTTGATTGACTCATTTGGGCTAAAATAGTCAAACTCGATCTGCTCATTCCCCCCCAGAAAATGACGGTTCGAAATGTAAACAATTCAGTCATCGTTCAAGTCACTCAGAATAATGTCACCATCTGTCATGACAGATTTTAAATGATATATTACTACCTTATACTAAATTATATTTGGATATTTAGAGTACTAATGAATTCCAACTTATGGTCCGGTTAGACTTAAAATACACCACAAATATTCACTTTTGAGATATAATTTTTGGTATGTGTTCGTTCTTGGATATCTAAGCTTCGTCGTCCTGTACTTCGTTTAGTAATTCGAACTTCCCAGTTTGCGTAAAAAGGGAGAGTTTCGCGATTTCGACATCAAAAATGCATTTATTATTTGCTGAGGGACTACTGCTTAGGTATGTGCTCTGTAACTTGCAGCAAATTAACCTAAAAACGTTAGGTAATCAAACAAAAATGACGTTGTACTAAAGTCCAAAAAGTACGTTCAAGGTCTGCATTTTTTCGTAGCACAAACATGATTTACTCCCTTGCTTATTGTGACACCCTCAAATCAACTGATTTCCATTCCCCTCAAGGGTCAAAATGGTATCTGCCTCCATTGTATGCCACAACTTGAAAAAGTCTTTTTTGCTTGACTTGTTCATTTGCCTTTAATTGCGTTTCAGTGGCTGTCACAGTTGTATTCTGAGTCTTGCCGATAACATTTTGGGTCAAATTCATGTAGATATCGCCGAGAAAACTCAAATTTTCAACTAAAGCTAATTTGCATAACAATGTTTTTGCCCTTGGTCGCCATATTGGACACTGCATACAAGTACAGTTATGACCTTGGTAGTACTTATTAAGTGTAATAGTCAAATCGCCCAGGGTGGTTTTTCGGAAGTTTTTTAAGCTGTTATTTTAATCTTTTTAGATGCCTAAACATTTTGCCGTAGTCATTGATATGACGCCTTTTCAAGGGTATTGATGTTTATTGCGACCAGCGTGAATGGGTAAGCTTCGTTTCGACAATGAGCTGTTATTGCTGGAAACAATGTTAAATTATTCTTCAAATGCTTAGTTTATCTTTTTAAAACCAAAAATCATGCCGTTTTCCCATCTAAATCCAAGCCAAAAGATTGTACTACAATATCTACAAATCTCTTCCGTGTTGCGTTCAATAACATTAACATATCTAAATGAGCTACGGTAATTTGGCTCGATGGCATCATCCACCATTTTGATTGGTTAATTATTAGTTCAGATCATTTTGGAGAAAGATGCGCGGCCTACTTTTCAATCCAGCAAGAAAAAAATGTATAATTTTTTAGATTAGCTTTTGCAATAGTTTCTTTCGTTTTGGGCGGTCCAACTGCCGGCGTTGAAAATCGGCGTACGCGGATTTTTCAATGAAGATATAAGCCCCCTAAAATATTTGATCATCATTTTTTGATCGTACTACAATATCGGCAAATCTCTTCCGTGTTGCGTTCAATAACATTAACATATTTAAATGAGCTACGGCAATTTGGCGCGATGGTATCATCCAACATTTGGATTGGTTAATTAGCAATTTGAACTATCAAAGAACTCTGTCCCAGGTCAACACATGGCGGATATTCTCCAGCATCGAGCATTCAATATGCGAACGGAATCATTCGCTTACGATGAAAGTTGAAATTTATTTGCATTTCATAACAATTCAACGAATTTATTTTTTACACGTCATTATAATCATTAGTAGGTAATAATCAACAATTGCGAAACGCAGCATGACAGGATTGCGCTACCACTATCATTTGCTTCAAAGCAATGCAGTTGGGTTCGTTTTTATTTGAAACTTCTTTTAGGATATACTTTCGTTACTAATAGAATGCAAAAACAAAATAATTGTATTTGGCGCACAAGGTTCGTCAATGTGATTTTTTTGGAGAAAGATGCGCGGACTACATTTCAATCCCGCGAGGAAAAAATGTTTAAATTTTTAGATTAGCTTTTGCAATAGTTTCTTTCGTTTTGGGTGGTCCAACTGCCGGTGTTGAAGATATAAGCCCCCTAAAAATATTTGATCATTGTTTGAAAATATGAACCCCAAATAAGGGCCCACCAGCCATGAAACCACCCTTGGCGATTTTTCGGATGGGCGAATTTACGGCAGAATTCGGTAGATGGAAATACCAGTTGCATAACTGATTATGATTGATGATTCGATTGCTGACCGGGATAACTGCATTTATGTTCTTTGCTATGCAATGTAAAATCATATCGATGCTGTGGGCAGCGAAGGGTGACAGATTGTTTTGGTTCAATGGCTCTAAGGTTTTGGTTCAACAGGTAACGGACATTTAATGACTTTTTTTTACTATTCTGATGTGTTCTGGGCTGTAAATAACAGTCAGACACTGACACATAAGTAAGTACTAGTAAACAGTCCGGGACATAGTCAATACAAGTTGGTAGCCTGGTTGACGATGTGCTCCGCTCAAAAAACAAGCAACATGTTTTTTGCTGTTTCCATGGTAGAACATGAACGTGAAGCTAACGTCAGTTTATAACTAAATGGGCCCTGTATACAAAGTTTGCAAAAACCATTCAGTCTTTAGAAGTCACTTAGTTCATTACGAGAACATATTCTGCTGTTACATTTATTATTTCCAACCGTTTTGCGATAGTATTTTCTTGAATGAATGCAGCATTTACAGTTCATTCAAAGTTCAAAGTTGCGTTGGTATTACATTTCGATCGTTGTTAATCATTGGGATTGGCGTTACGATTAACAACGTCGGCGTCGGTGATCAGTGCGCAACGTAGCCAACATAAAAAACATGATCATCTGAGCAAAAATAAAAAGCATGATCATCTGAACACTGCTATTACAAAACTGGTAGGAGGTAATACATTTGGGACGAAAGTTTTCAATAATCAGTTTTTGGCTGTTGCATTTGTTGCATATTTTTTCAATTAGTGACGGTACGATCTACCTGTCAAGTATAAACAAAATCAGTCGAGCCAAAAAAAATCACAGAGGAGTTAAAAGCCATTGCTGGTGAAAAGTTACCCCAACTTTGGGGTCAAATTTCTCCGAAATGAAAAAAGATATCAAAAATTCAAATAGCAATAGCGGCCAAGCCAAAACAATCACAGAAGAAATAATACGTGAAAACACTGGAAATCACACACAGAGACACACACACAAAACGACAAAAGTGATTATAAGGGCAATCCTAGCGGAGCGGATTGGCAATAATTAATATTTAATTTTTTACTCCCGTGTGTGAAGCACACAATGGGAGTATTTGCTGTTAGTGTGTCTGTATGTGTGTGTGTTCATATTAGTTACCTGATTTACATAATTAGTTTTCAGTTTTTCCATCAATATCTCAAGTACAAGTAATTTTGAATTAATTTTTAATGTGTCTTCAATACTATCAGCTCACGGGAGTTCTTTCTAAGCTTTCTTTGATTGTTAGTGTATCTTTAATTTTATTTATTAAAATATGTACACATTATATCTAATTGGGGTGAAAATTGCCAAGCCAATTTATAAAATTATATACAAATATTTTCGTGAATAACACTGACCTTGAAATATGCCCTTGAGAAGTGTTACTGACAGAATATTTTATATTGCAATTTCTTTCAATTTAATTAGTTGTATTGCAATTCATTAGTAATAATGTAAATATATACATATACATTTCTTTATTTCATTGTTGAGACTGAGTTATATATTTGTTACGTACTATAGTTTATCTATATTGGAGAACGGTTATGGGGATTATTAATTTTAATAAACAATATTCAACTATTAATAAATAAATTAATTAAATTAATAGCTTCTAAGGATGGTATTCCCAGAATAGCGCAAGTTGTTAAAGAAACATAAAACTTTAAATCTCAACTACGATGAAAGGACCAGTTACTGCGACAAAGCCCTACTCCCCGCGAGACCCACCCAATACGAAACACACTTACCGCGAAAGCCACTTATCGCGAAGCTACTATCCTGGCGTCAACCAGGCCCGGTCGAACACAAGCACCTGCGGACCTTAACCAAGGTTCCCCCAATGTCGCATTCGTTAGTGAATGAATCTCGGCCAGTGGAATTGGCCTTCCCATTGAGTCTGTGGCACACTCACCCAGGGTGGGGGTCGACCTTTTTGACGTTCAGCCTATTGTAGGATTTGAACTTGGGTCTACCGATCATGAGTCTGATGCAATAACCACTATGCTACCAGTGACCGATCATTATTTAATATTATGATTTATGATTTAATATTATAAAATCAATATTGTCTATTTTGAAATAGAGCACTCAATACATCTACACAAACGTGGTGGTTTTCTTTTCTTTTATGATTCCTGTTTATTTTAGACAAGCATGTGACAAGAACATGTACACTTCCTCTTTAATTAATGTCATAGGCATGTGAATAGTCATTGTCCCTTGATGTGCAGCTACAAATGCAAAATTCATATCCCAGATGTCGATAAAAAATACCCCATGTCCTCTAAATACGTCTTTCATTATGCGGTTCATGTCGTAATGTATCCAGTAGTTCAACATATCGTTTCTTTCATGTGAGCCCTTGATGGCAATGACAGTATTTGGACAGCGCTCCCGAAGACGTTGTATACCTATAGCAATCATGCTGAGCCTCTCTGTGTAACTATCTGTAGTCCAAGAGTCAAAATGAGCCCAGAGACTAATAACAATGACGTAATTGCATTTTGGAGCAGTCAGTTCGTCTAAAACGTCAATAGAGTATGGAAAACGGGATATTGGAACAAATCGGTGCAGTGAGAGTGCATGGTGATGAAAAGTGAAATTAATGTTATTTTTCAAGTCGGTCACTATCATGTCATACGCATCTTCCCCACTAACATTGTAGTCACCAGGTATTGTGTTAACACGTTTCCTCCAGTTATCATCTGTGGCATTTATGGGATATCCAGCTATGTCCAACATTTGTTGATACCACTGTCTAGTTGTGGAGTCACCAATAAAATACACGTCTTTGTCCTGCAAGCATTTCTGAACTTCTTTTGCATGGTTCCATTCTCTGTTTTGACAGACCAAGGAGTACCATCTCATGCCAAGCCAGTATCCAGTAACTAATGGTTCTAGTAAGTCTGATTCACACCGAGGTACACTGTAGGTATTGATACCAGATTTCACACCGCCTGTAAAATACATAAATACTGATACATTAATATTTTATTTAACATTTCAGGATGAAACAACATTTCCAAATGTGTACAGTATAGATGCCATTTAAAAAAATGAAATACGAAATAGGTATTGGTAAAATGCTGTATTCGTGTTATGGCCAAAAAGGAGTGATAATGTCACATTAGAAGGACAACGCCGGCGTATTAGCTTGCCAGGTAGTGGTAATTATCCTCTATATATATCAACAGAAATAGTTTATGTTGGTATGTAAGTTTATGCGCTATCACGTCTGTAAATATCATAACGTCACGCACGCACGTGTCAATTCTTTGAATCATCGGATTTCTTCATATATGGTTTGACCCAGGGCGACGTGTCCCAGCATACATGTGCATTGGTGTTAGGCCTGCATATTTCTCTGATTGAACGTGTCCAGATTTCCACACCCTTTTTGCACTTAATTAACATATAACAATCACTCTATTGGTCATAACGTAGTTCATAATTCAGGAAAGATTGTTTGTCTTATAATATTGTTGAGCGTGATAGTCATGTTTGCATACCACTTAGGAATATACAGTTAGATTACGGCATACTTGTTTTGTTCAAGTAACATACACTACATTAGGAAACGCACTGTAGGCAGTCATTTCCTTCTCAGCCATCTTGAAATGCAGAATGTTAATTTAATAGCAGCTCGCCTGATGTACGTGCCAGCAACACTCGCGAGTACTTATAGTCTAAGACATTAGTAAACAGGTTAAGAGAAAATAGATCAGAAATAGATCAACTTTGCAAAAGCTCAGCAGAGAAAAGTCCATGTGTAAATACACGCACCCACTCATGCACATGTACGTACATACACACATACAGCTCGCGCGTACACACTTATTACTTACTCTGTATCAGCAGTCTATCGTTGAACCCCTTAATGACGCGTGGAGCATCGGGTCTGCATGAAGGAAATATAGTTACTTTTAAAATACGTATTAGTAAATAATTACATAGACTCGGTTCAATTTAGTAATGATGAATTGCCGCAACAAATTGATTTAATGAATTAATTTGCATAGATATTATATGGCCTCAAGGTATGAGTTCAGTGTAGAACACAATTAGCTTAATTAGCCTTCGTTAGATTACAATGATTCCCGATATTTATTGTCAATATGACATATCGCGAAGCTTTGAATATTAGTATCTTTCTATTGTTCTAGAAATATTTCAAGTAATATAAAATAATAGATAGTCAATATGATCACTGGATTTTTTTTTCTTCATCGAGTTCAGATGAAAACACCAATGGAAGAACAAATACCTACTTTTCAAACTGATGAGTAAAATTGCTGCTTAATTTATTGTTGCCAGACCTTGTTGCAGATATGCCGATAAGAGTGTTGCATCCCAGCGATTTAGGTGGACGACACAAAAACACAGTGTTTCCCAGAGCTCTAGGATGCGGATATTCACACATATCGTTCCAGTGTCCTTCTCTTTGTGTGAAACAAATCGAATTTTCTGTGATATCGTCATGCCGAAAAGTTCCATTCCAATATCCCCTAAATTCCATCGGTAACAAAAATAACTTCTGGTGCTTGATTGCTTCTCTCTGTAATACTAACATAATCTGGACTACCACTTGTCCTGAAAACCCCGCATAAAAATGCACTGTGTATGTTCCATTATCATGGTCGATTACCTTCCCCATAGAGCCAAACCTACTGGTCGTGTTGTAGATAGCTGCCCGCCATAAATCACCACCAAGATAACGTCTTCTACCGTTGTCATCTCGTGCATGCAGTCTTAAAGTAATTATATCGCCCTGGTAAGTAGAGTTGACGTCAGATAGAAAAATCACCTCTGTTTTGAGAGCGCTGGTTTGTCCGCGACTACCTATAAAACCGGTGGAAACATTCCAAGTGTGAGTTTCAGTCTCAACTGTGTCTTGATTACCAATTTGTACACCATGTGACCGATACTGTTTTGTTGTTGTCTCGGAAAGTATGGAACTAGAGTATTTCATAGTTGTTTTCCATGGCAATACATCCTGGTAAGAAGTATGGAAACAGAGTTGCACATTATGATAACTTTGTGGTTTTGAAATAATTCCAATTTACATTATGACTATATTGATATGTAACGCTATAAATGTCATGCTTACTTTCAAGTTTACATTATGTTGGTTTACATGATGCACTTTATAGTGCAAAATGAATTGAGATATCTAATCTTTTTTACAAAGTAATGAATACGTGAACCCTCACCGTGAACACGTGAATACTTCCAACAGAAAGTACTAGGAGTATAGCCAGTAAAACAGCGAATCGTGTAATTGCCATTTTGGTCTGTGAAAAGAGAACGCTATTAGAAAAATGAATCCTAAAATGTCCTCAATAAAATAAAAAGTCACCACTAATGATGACAGATTATATCATTATTGGTACAGCTGTCGTTATGCTGTAGTAAAGATTAAAGAAATTGAATAATATTTTGAAAGTATTAGGTAACACGCGACACCCTCATAAACACGTGCGGCGATAAATTGAAATTGATGAGATATTGGCTATTAAAACTCGGTTGCATTTTTGTAAATATTGAAAAAAAAACATTTTATAAAAGTAATGCAATATCATACTGAAAACAAATCCAGCTCAAAACCGGAGAATAATATTTGTTATAACCCTGCCTTCCACATTTCTGAAACCCATATATTCTTCAGCGTCATATACAGTCACTCGACATTCAAATCGACGAGTCCGGACATTATGTCCGAAACACATAGTCAGGTCGATACAGATATAAAGTTAAATTTATTTGCAAGAGTTGTGTCTTGGTCCCCGCTTACAGGAGCTCGTTCGTCGATTATCTGCCTTCTTCCACAGTAGATAAACTGTCGCAACAACAGTCCGTGCCCGAGTTTTGACAACAAATAGATGGCCATGATTGGTCATACATACGCCAATCGTAGTACATCTCATTTATAGACAATAGATTTCATGATCGTATAACAGATAAAAGCCGACTATTTGAAATACACTAATTAGGAGAGACGTCTACAGAAGGAGTAAACGGGCGCGTATTGATATTTGTTTTACTGATGTTCAAAATGTTCAAAAGGGTAAAAGATGAATTATGCGATATTTGATTTCAATTATTCTCGATTCTAGGTCAAATATATGGACTAATTCAGATAACAAACCGAAAAGACACATTTATGAAGAACAGTGAGATATATCTGGCGCGGTCTAGCATTTAGGCAATGGGTCTCAATGTTGGTGATATCTATATTCGCTGGCCGATCAAACCTACTGCCCAATTTCTTGCTCAAACGAACTTGGATATACGTATGCCATCCACTACCGTAATGCTGACAAACTGGATTTACGTGTGCCAACTGTCTTCTTATGGATCCGTGGTACACCGTGGCCATTCCAAGATGTAAACTCGTTCTCACAATTAAATAAATACAACATTAGTATATTAGGCCTATTTTATATGATATTCCAATCGTGTGCATGCGACGCAAAACTTAATATATTGCTAAATATTTTGATTTCAACTATTTCCATGGGATAGCAAATTTAGTATTGTTTGGCAAATTTTTAATTCATTATCAGTATCAGTGTGTTTAAATTTCCGCGAATTAACATTATGGCATTTTACGTCTGCCAAATAACGGCCAAATAAATACGTGGAATCATTAATTTCGAAGGACCTGGCGTAGAATTGGAAATTACTCCAAATAAACAAATGTCCAATTCGGTAACAGGATAATAGGATATTTGGTTATTGATGAAATAGTAGGACGACACCAGGCTTAGCAAGTGCGTCGTGTTTCTCTCATGAAGTTGACGCTGATTGTGCACAAAGGAAGCCGCTCATCCCGCCATTGGATGGCGGCACATCGTGTATGTGGTGTTTACAAAGGACGAGCAGATGATCCGTGGTTCATCGTGACCAATAATAAAATGATTGGTTGTCCAACTGTGGGCGTGTCTTTTATTTCTGTGCTAAACCAAAGTCCCGCCATTTATTTCTCATGGTTGTTCGACCATAGTTGTCTGCACCAGTATCACGAGTTCTAAGTTTGGTTTACTATGTTGGTAAAACCGCGCAAATTCATTTTACCGCCACTTTACAGCGGTTTTCACACAGACACCAGTTAATTCCGTTACCCAATGGCTGAAGCAATTTCACATCGACCAGACACGCCCAAAACAAATGACGAGATTTGACAGGATCGGCCAATGCGCATGCGTATAAAACAGCTGGTACTAATATCCTAATTTCCTAATAACTTATTTTGTACTCGTACAGTGCAAAATACATATTTGATTAGGTTGGTTGGCCATCAAGTACCATCCTATGGCACCCAATTCATATATCACCAATACCATAGTACAGAGTTATGTTAACAACGAGCCAAAATTAAGACTAATATACTAAATTTTTATTTAATTAATTGTAAGGACGAGATTACATTGTGAAATGGCCACGATGTACCACGGATCCTTATGTTGGCTAAACCCTATAATAATTAAAACTGAATTTGCAATAAATAACAGCTGCAATGTTTGAATTGGGCAACAGCCTGAAAAGATTTTTACGTTCATACGTTGTTAAATGTGATCTTAAAAATAAACATTAAATATATTGTACAAATAGTGACAGGTTTTACTAAAACCCATATACTAATAATTTACTCTTTTTGGCATGCATGAGTTTTGCAAAACGAATTCAAAACAAGTCCCTGCTGCCCTGTATATATGTTCATGAGGTTATCAAGCAGATACAAATACGACGAAGATTCCTTTCAAGTATGGTCCAATTCTCGTCTTACCTCCAGCAAATGAAACTGAATTGAATGCACCCAAGAAAACAATAAAATACACAATAAAATAAAACCTGAATTTTCGCTTCTGTGGACATTCTAAGTACAAATCATGTTGCGAACTACGGTCATTGCTTCGCGCGGGTTAACGCGGGCTTCATGACGCCATGGCGCTGTACCGTTAATATTGATAAAAACAAGTTAATATCAATCAATCAATCAATCAATCAATCAAATTTATATTTCGCCAGTATCCTCCTCC